AGGAGGCTGCGTCCAAACATGGCTCGACGCTTGTCATGGGGAGCACAAGGGGGGGAGGTACAGGGTTAGTCACGACAAGAGCTAACAAAGACCTTGGCTTCGGGCCGGGCTGTATCCGGCTGCAAGGCCAAAAGTAGTGCTTTTGTCGTCGGGCGCAGAGGCCAAAAGAGAATCGCAGGTAACCGCGACTCACCCGGTTTAGGCAGTAGCTTCCTATACAGTGGTTTCACTGTAGAGGTGAGGAAGCTGAGAAATGATCAACAATGAAACATGCAACAAGGTTGGATGACTTCCTACAAAAAAGTGCATTCCTAGTCAGCTATAGAGGAATGACAGGCATCAGGTTAACATGTAGCGCAAATACAGGGAAATAGTTTTTCTATTTAGATGTGGAGGACGTAGAGGTTTCCTTCTTAAAATCAAGGAAATGGAGGTTTCCTAGAGAGGAAGTAGAGGATTTCTCCTGACAACGTATGGTGGACACAGACGTGTAGGGTACACATCTAGCGGAAATACGTTTTCAAGCGTAATGCAGAAAATGGAGGTTTTCCTTGTGACATGTCGATGACAAAGAGGCAAAGAGGTTACCTATTCAGGCATGTAAGAAAATGTTCCTATAGATCTCCCCCCCCAAACCCGAAACGTTAAACCCTAGAACCCTTAACCCGAAACCCAAAACCCTGAACCCTGAAACCGTAAACCCTAAACCCCAAACCCTAAACCCCAAACCCCAAACCCTAAACCCGAAACCCTAAACCCGAAACCCTTCGGCTTTGGCCGACCCAAGCTCAGGACCGGCGTGCCTCCACGGGATGATCTGTGCCCTGGCGCTTGCGATTCCTTAGTTCATGAACCACCGTAGGGTTCAGGGTTTAGGGTTTGGGGTTTAGGGTTTAGGGTTTGGGGTTTAGGGTTTAGGGTTTGGGGTTTAGGGTTTAGGGTTTGGGGTTTGGGGTTTAGGGTTTAGGTTTTAGGGTTTAGCGTCAGTTCTCGAGGCCCCTGTGAGTCTTCCCATAACGGAGTTACCCGAAGCCCCTGGAAAAGACAGCCTCGAATGTTCAGGGCCATCGAAGAAAGCCATAACTTTTAACTAAAAAGAAAGCCGTAGCTTTCAAAAGTTACCAACCCTAAGCCCGAAACTCTAAGCCCCTAAGCCCTAAGCCTTAAACCCTAAACCCTAAACCCTAAACCCTAAACCCTAAACCCTAAACCCTAAACCCTAAACCCTAAACCCTAAACCCTAAACCCTCGACCCTCGCAGGTACTGGAGGCGTGAAGAGCGCATGCTCTTCTCCAGCACCAGGATAGAGAAAGGGTCTGGACCCAAGCTTGGGGCTTGAGCGGCCCCAACCAATGTAGGGTTTAGGGTTTAGGGTTTAGGGTTGAGGGTTGAGGGTTGAGGGTTGAGGGTTGAGGGTTTAGGGTTTAGGGTTTAGGGTTTGGGGGCTTGTGCACGCAGGTGCGCCACAGCTTCTTGCTCTATGCTGAACCTGTTTCATGTCACATATTGCCAGCTGTGAAAAGCAGTACGATAGTCAGAATGAGAACGATCCTGACGCCCCTAACGAAACCTATATGGTCAGTTCTCAACATTAGGGTTTTGAACTTGCATGTTTTTGCACGTGTTCACGCATCATGTGGCTTCATTGTTGACTACAAAGTCATGCAACTTTTAAGTTGTCTGGATTCGGCATCCCCCCCCATGAGCCAATTTGGGTACTTCTCGGAGTTGAGGGTCCCTGGTTGGGGGTTCCTTGTTATAAGGTGAGCATATCATACAGGGGACCCGTGCCTGATGGACTTCCCTACAGCTACCTCATCGGCTTACTTATAACCCCAATCATAGCCCCTAAGTCCTCTAAGTAGGTCATAACCCTAAACCCTAAACCCTAAACCCTAAACCCTAAACCCTAAACCCTAAACCCTAAACCCTAAACCCTAAACCCTAAACCCTAAACCCTAAACCCTAAACCCTAAACCCTAAACCCTAAACCATAAGTAGGCGTATACTTGGGGTTAGAAGTGCCCATGAACCTCCAAGTAGTCTTTTGGCCTGCCAGGCTGTCCTCGGAGTTGGAGACCCCCAAGTCAGAATCACATACCTGCTACAGTGTACCTCAATTCCTACGCTTGTATGTATACACACACATACATATATTATCAATATATAAATACATGTGCATGTATTGATGTTTGTGATCAACTTCTGTGTGTATTCTGTAGGTGTCCTCATTCAACAAAAGCCCTTCTGGGTGCATCCCCCCAAGAAGTTCAAAGGTTAAGGGGGCTCACGCGGGTGCCCGATAGAGGAATTCATCTTGCACTGCTTTCTGTACATCCTGCTAGCGCTCTCGGGTTTAGGGTTTAGGGTTAACGCCTCAAACCCTCAAACCCCTCAAATCTCTCAAACCCCTCAAGCCCCTCAAACCCCTCAAGCCCCTCAAACAAGCCCCTGAAACCCCTCAAGCCCCTCAAGCCCCTGGAGCTGCAGCTCCTCAAGCCCCTCAAACCCATCAAGCCCTCAACCCTGGAACCCTTCAACCTCTTCAACCTCTTCAACCCCCCCCCCCCCCCCCGCCAACCCCCCCCCCCCCCCCCCCCCAAGCCCAAGCCCAAGCCCAAGGATCAACTTCGGCGCTTATGAGGAGGTCGAGGTCGAGCGTCGCGGTGGCCTCGGCGGCAAGGAGGCGCGGCCGAAGGCAGAGTGAAGTCCACAAGTACCCTGAGACTTAACCCGACCAAAAATCTCTGTAAAGACCTAAGAGTCTGAGTAGGGTTTAGGGTCTAGGGTTTAGGGTTAGGGGTTTAGGGTGTAGGGTTTAGGGTTCAGGGCTTAGGGTTTAGGGTTTTGGGCCCGGGAAGCCCTGTGGTGCCCTTTTGCACCATTTTGCACCATGTTTTGGTTCTAGGTTTCTAAAGAAACCAACCCCAAGAAGGGTACCCTTGTCATAAGATGGTTACTGGGCTACCAAGAGGAGGCATCACACCTGAGGGCTAGGGTTTGGGCGCAAGAACCCTTCACAGGAAGCGCATGTCTTGGAGGACCCCTGTCTAGGAAGCAAGAAAAATGACCCCCTTGTGCAAGCGTAGCGTGGGGAGCGAGGTCCTGTTAAGAAGACTGCTTTTGCGCACGTTGCAGACTGGCTTACAAGAAGGAGGACAGTGTCTATGATGTAGCAGATTCCAGCAACTGCCTTCTTGCGGTTTCTGGTGAATGCTGCTTCTGCATTGGCACCTGGTGGCATCGTGGCAAATCCAGGTGGGAACTCCTGCTGCTTCTGAGATGGCTGTCTACAGGGTTTTGACTGATGCTATGAAGCTGACCCGAGACATCAGCCGCCTTGTTGAATGTGCAGCGAGTTTTTGCATCTGAGAACTGAATGATGAGCACACAATGTCTAGAGGCAAGGGGGGCGACAGCCTTGGGGACCAATGACTAACAGGGTTTATGGTTCATAGACCTTAATAGGAATTATAGTAGTATAGGGCATATGACCCCAATTTTAGGTTTCATTTCGTCCCCAAGGAGGAGCACCGATGAGTCACGTGCTATTTAGAGGTGCGCGCCGATCTCTCTTGTGACTCCCTGACATGGCTTCATGGAGTCAAGCTGCGGTGGACCCTTCAACCCAGAGACTCTAACAAAGGGTTCCTTATATGGCTTCAGGAATATTCCTTCATTAAGGGGTAATTGGAGCCTCTGGGATTCCCATACTAGTACTCTCTCGCTTTTTCTCATCATGGAGTGCGGCTTGGGCAGATCCGAACAGAAAGGGCACGATGGCCACCACTCTGTCGTCGGGGGTCCGTGGTGGGATCTCAGCACGAACGACCTGCAGGTGCGAAGATTTTTGTTGGGGTTTAGGGTTTGAGGAATGATCTCAAGTGACGGTCGACATGTGTTAGTGGCAGATAGGACCTAGACACGCCTCTTCTCGCAGAGTTCTTGGAGCTCGGGGCTGAGCAAGCAAACTTCTTGTAAAGTCTTACGCCTCTAGCGCCCTCACCCTGAAACCCCAATGTCCCTGTAAAGAGAGATTGTATGTCTTAACGCCCCCTTGCTCCTCAACATCAAACAGAAGCTCTGATGATTGCTTTCCCTTTGCCCCTGCCTACAGAGAAGTTTAAGCAAATTGAGTGTGTTCTCGTTTTGATGTGCTGCGACACCAAGAATTGTCAATAGGTTGAACAGGCACCAAAACCAAAAACCAGGCACGCCTTTTGTCGAACACTTGAAAGAACGGGGGGACTCCTCGAAGTTCCCCAAGCAATACACGTGGAATGAGGAAAGGCTTAGGCTAGACCCTGCTAATGCAAGGGGATACTTGGAAGTTCAGGGTACTTATAGCCCAATTCGAAGTGTAGTTATTACCCACTTATAGGCCCCTTAAGTACCCTAATAGGGTTATAATTGGGTGATAAGTGCAGTTCTAATCGGGTTACTAAGTACCCTGAACCTCCAAGTAGGAGCACCCGAAGCTTTCAACCAGAGCGCACCCAATGGGTAGCCGTTGAACCCTAAACCCTAACCCAAACCTTATACCCTAAACCCTAAACCCTAATGCCTAAACCCTAAACCCTAGTACCTAACATCCTAAACTAAAGCTTGTGCACTCGTCGCTTGTCTGGGGAGGCTTGCGGGCTCCCAGTGCGTCTCCGCAACGACTTGACGATCACTGCGCTTCCGATGACCATGACCTCGACATCATCGACCACAACGCAGAAGCTGATCTCATAGTTCGTTCATGTAGGCTAGCGTTATGTGTGCCGAGGAGCCAGCAGATGTCGAATTGAAGTGGGTGAAACCCTAAACCCTAAACCCTAAACCCTAAACCCTAAACCCTAAACCCTAAACCCTAAACCCTAAACCCTAAACCCTAAACCCTAAACCCTAAACCCTGGGGGGGGATGAGCAGATGTTTCTAGGGTCCCTCGTGCAGTGGTTTCGGCTCAAGACCAGCCGACGCCATGCGCTCGCTATTGAAACGTGTATGACAGCCATGGACGGCGAGGAGGAACTCGGAAACTGCTCCTTCTTGCAGGTGTTTTGGTAGCCCAGTGATACCCTTTACCCTTTTTTGTTTTTTCGGTTCTGGGTTGCCTTTTTTTTTTAATAACCAACCCAAGAAAGGTTGCCCTTGTTACAAGATGGTTGCTGGGCTACCAAGAACCCTAAACCCTAAACCCTAAACCCTAAACCCTAAACCCTAAACCCTAAACCCTAAACCCTAAACCCCAAACCCCAAACCCTAAACCCTAAACCCTAAACCCTAAACCGTAAACCCTAAACCCTAAACCCTAAACCCTAAACCCTAAACCCTAAACCCTAAACCCTAAACCCCAAACCCAAGGTGTCCCTCCAATCCGATGCGCAGCTGGACCTGCAGGAAGAAGGGATTCGCCGCTATGGTCCCGGTCTCGCCTCCCCAGTTGCCAGGATCGGGGAGTTGGCCCCTTTTTGTGTTTTGTTTAGGGGTTTGGGGTTTGGGGTTTAGGGTTTAGGGTTTAGGGTTTAGGGTTTTGGGCTTATACAGGGGATTAAAACCAAAAAGGGGTACCCTTTTTGTTATTCCTGGGTTACTCCCGGGTCTAGGTTCTGACCGTGATCTGCTTCGGACTGCTCGTGCTCGTTGCCCGGGGCGCCCCATGGCGCGAAGGCCGCGGCAGCCAAGACGGCGAAGGCTCCAAGGGTGGGCTGCCGATCACTGTGTTGGTCCTGATGGGCTTCTTACTTCGCCATTAGTTGAACTTTAAGCTTTTTGGGTGTGCTTATCTCGTAGGAATATCAAAGGTTTAGCCGTTTTTCCCCCTTGGTTTTTTGGAGAAGTAAGGCTTGACTATGGGCCTGGACTTCTTCTGTACAGACCAGTACCAGCCGAGCATGTTGCTCGGTAGGTATTTGGGACATTTTCTACTTTCCGTGTTATTTGGGTGAAAGAGGGATCCTGGGTCCTACCTAATTAACAACAGCCTGATAAAAAAGAAAAAAGGAGCCTATGTACACATATATTTTAGAGGGTTTAAAGGGCCAACCTAGGTAACAGCCTTATCAAAAAGGGAGCCTACAGTATATGCAAAGATATTTTTCAGAGGGTTTTCAGACCAAGGTTGCACATGTCTCACCACTTTGGCGTAGCTGGCGAAGCCATGGCATCCACCATCCAGATCCACCAGATGTGCTGCGCCCTGGCAATGCCTTGTGTTGGGCGTTGGCTGCTCGGTAGGTTTTTTGGGACATTTTGCAATCTTCCTTTATTGGGGTTGAGGAGGATCACCTGAAGATTTTTCAGAGGGTTCGAACCCTAAACCCTAAACCCTAAACCCTAAACCCTGAACCCATGTTTTCAGAGGGTTTTAAGGGCCCTCCGAGGCTGTGCAAGCATGGCATACGGCCTATGATCCTTTGCTGCCAGCTGTTCTTTGCTGCAAGCACGCTGAGCTGTGCCTTAGTAGCTGAATGAGTCCGCTTTACATTTTTTAGGGGTTTAGGGTTTGGGGTTTAGGGTTTAGGGTTTAGGGTTTAGGGCTTAGGGTTTAGGGTTTAGGGTTTAGGGTCTGTAATCCCGTATAGAACTGAAAGTGTACACTTTTTGGGGGGTGTATGAACTCAGCAACGAAGGTGCCTTCTCTCCTTCCTTCGGCTGGTTTGCGGCAGGACCTCGTGGTTTCAAGACGAGTTAGATATGTAGTCATTATGTATTATGTATTTTTCTTATGATGTTTATGATGATTATGATGTTTATGATGATTATGATGATTATGATGCTTTATACAGTACTATTTTTTAATAGAGTAGTACATCATAGAATTTCCAGTCATGGAACAGATGCTGCAGGACGCGCGCTCCAGGGGATATCGGCATCTTCCAGCGTGGCCATCTCAGCCATGCTCAGTGCTGCGTACACCGACCGGCGCGAGATGCTGCGAGCGGCGAACCTGGTTTCGTGCATCGCCCTAGTGGGGCACATTGCCGGTCCTGCGGCGGGAGGGTTTCTGGCCTCGGCTTTCGGCTGGCGATTTGGATTCCTAGCCGTCTTCTGCCTGGCAGCCCTGATCACCTTGGCAAACTACCTGCTGCTACCCGACCTGACCACAGAGAAGGCGCCGGAGGCGCCCACGGCCACAGAGGGTGGAAACGGGCGCATCCTGTGGCGACAGCTCTTGGTACTGATGGGGCTCAGCCTTTTGAGGGGCAGCTCCTATGCCGCTCGGTGTTGCTGCTGGTGAGAAGCCACGCCAAGTTTTTTCACCAGCCCAAAGCATGTCAAGCATCAGCATGGGCATCTAAACCCTAAACCCTAAACCCTGCACCCTAAACTGCTTTCTAGACTAGAGAGAGAGAGAGAAAGAGAGAGAGAGAGAGAGAGAGAAGGACTTGCGCGCCCCTATTGGCAGCTCTCCCTTCGGGGGGGGCTAAGCGTGCAGAGAGAGAGAGAGAGTTAGTTCCCACAGTTCGCTCGCAAGGTTGTGATGTCCACGAACAGCTTCGTCTTCGAGGCCCACTATGGTCTGAGTATCCAGCGGGTGTCTTGGCACAGAGATCATACACGCTACGAAGCTCCAAGTCTAACGCCCTAAGCCCTGGACCCTAAACCCTAAACCCTAGACCCTAGACCCTAAACCCTAAACCCCAAACCCCAAACCCCAAAACCTCATGCCACCTTCTTTCAGGCCGCCCTCCTCATGTCCGTCCTGGTGGCTGCTGGAGCCTTTGGCATGGCGGCCTCCACTACGCTGGGCTTCTCACCCACGGAGGTCGCGGGACTGGAGGGGAGCCCAAACATTAGGGTTTAGGGTTTATAGGGTACAGGGTTTAGGGTTTAGGGTGTAGGGTGTAGGGTGTAGGGTGTAGGGTGTAGGGTTTTAGGTTTATAGGCTTTATAGGCTTTATAGATTTTGGGGTTTGGGTCATGCTGAGCCGTTACCGTCCCCAAATCCTCTTCTCTCACACCCCGAAGACGAGGCGTTGAACCTCTTTTCCCCTCTGCTGGTGCTGTCCGCCGGCTACATGGCACTGGTGGCCACTCTCATGATCTCGGACAACCCCCTGACGTATATGTCTGGGGTGGCCTTGCATCAGTTTTTGGCGCACGGGCCAACATGGGCGGTCCTAGCAGAGGCCCAGCAAGACTCGGGGCTGGATGACGCAGGCCTCCCTCCCCACGTTTCTTTGTCATAGTTGGGTAGCATCTTATATATTTATATATTTTTAAGGGTACTTAAACCCGAGAAGGAATACACATTTAAGTTTTTAAGATTTTCCCAACCATGAACTAGGTCTACGCCGGGATGATGAACGCCTTTGCCTCCATGCTCTCGTTGTTCGGGTTGGGTGCCATTAAAGGCGGGCCCTCGACGGTCCTGTACGTGCTTGCCATCATGTCCTTTACCTCGCAGGCATGCATCCGTGCAGGAAGCCTATGGGCTGCTGCCAAACAACTCGCGCGCCAAGCGTTTGCGGATTCGGGGGCTGAGTTCAAGCCGATTGACGAATGACCTACGGAGCAGAGTGCCGGAAAAAGCTCGAAGGGCAATGTGCAAGTCGTGTCGGTGGCATTGTCACTGTGCTGCCCTCGCACCCGCGGAGAAGCAAGATTGAGGGCATGTTCCTCAACTCTTAGCCTTAATTAATCCCCCTAAGCCCTAAACCCCTAACCCCTGAACCCCCGAACCCCCAAACCCCCAAACCCCCCAACCCCCCAAACCCCCCAACCCCCCAACCCCCCAACCCCCCAACCCCCCAACCCCCCAGCCCCCCAGCCCCCCAACCCCCCAACCCCCCAACCCCCCAAACCCCCCAAACCCCCAAACCCTGCCGGCTTGGAAGAGCCAAGGAGATGGCTAGCAATAAGTTGCAATCACAACTTCTGCTGCTCGGCGACTTTGAACAGAGCCCAGTCAGGACCATTTAGGTCTTCAGGGTTTAGGGTTTAGGGTTTAGGGAAGAGGTTGCGGCAGTCATGTGTGTGGCTGTGGAGAAAGCCTCCGGCCCCTAAATCCTTAGCCCTGATGTAAACATCCTATGAGCCTGAAGCCTAGGGTTTAGGGTTTGGGGTTTGGGGTTTAGGGTTTAGGATTTGGGGTTTAGGGTTAGGGTTTAATTCAAAAGCCTGAACCCTAGGCACGGCTGCATTACCCGGGTGTGAAGCCAAGGCACGTGTCGAGCCCAGCTTTCCTTTTCATCTACGGCCCTTTTGGAGAAGCGGAGGTACCAGTTGCCGATTCATGAAGGAGATCACTCTGCAGCTCTTGGCGAGGCTTCTGTAGGCGATGCGTGCCGTGGTGCACCGGCTGAGGATGGATGAGTCAACAAAACGAGAAACTTCGCTCCACGCGCTGGAAGAAAGGAGAGTCAATCCGAGCGTTTGCCACAGAGTCTGGTCGCGACAGCTTAACGCCACGTCTCTGGCACTCTCAACATGCTGCCAATCTGACGTGTGAGCCCTAAGCCCTAAGCTCTAAACCCTAAAACCCAAAACCCTAAAACCCTAAAGCCTTAAACCCTAAACCCTAAACCTTAAACCCTAAACCCTAAACCTAAAAATCACTTTGGCAAGCCGCAGGGTGCCGCTCAGGCATCACTGGGCACTCGCTTCGCTTGCCCAGCAGCGTGTCTCAAGCGCCGCTGCTCAGAGCAAGGTGCCTCCGGGAAGGGATGGCCACCATCGCAGCAAAGATATCCCTAAACCCTAAACCCTAAACCCTAAACCCTAAACCCTAAACCCTAAACCCTAAACCCTAAACCCTAAACCCTAAACCCTAAACCCTAAACCCTAAACCCTAAACCCTAAACCCTAAACCCTAAACCCTAAACCCTAAACGTTTTCATCGCCATCGCGAGCATGATCACAAGCGGTGCCTGGCATACGGAGCATTGCCGAGAGCTTCTACGAATCTTTCAGGGTGCTTGGAGCTTAGGGTTGATGGTTCAGGGTTCAGGGTTTAGGGTTTAGGGTTTAGGTTTTAGGGTTTGGGGTTATCCACCAGATTCTTTGACGACCTTGTCTCTGCGTCACGCAGCAAATCTTTATCCAGCCAGATGCTCCTTCTTCTCAAGGAGCTTCTTTGCGAGAACGACGCGCCTCATTGCGCGTCAGCAAAAGTACGTGCTCGGAGGCCTGCAGGATCATCCCATGGCTACTAGTTGCTGAAGACCCCGCACAAAAAGAGCAAAAAGATGTTCTTCCTTATAAGGGCGATGTAGGGATTATTGCCTTGATAATGATTTTTGGGGTGTTCTTTGGCAAGTAGATGTGCGAGTTTGCCGCCCGGACCTCTGGTGGAGATGTCCTCAGATGGTGGGCTTAGACATGTTTGCAGGCACAAGTGGGGGTTTCCGAAATTCGGGGTGCCTTGTTGGGGGTCCCTATGATACGGGAATCCTGCTATTTGGGGTTCAGGGGGTCCCTTATTTTCGTAAACCCCCAAGTACCGTGGTATGGAGGCATGATCCCCTACCATCGCTTCAGGGTTTTAGGCTTAGGGTTGAACATTTCCTGAGACTGAAAGCGCTTTTGACTGCTAAACTACTTACCTGTCGCCGTAAAGCGACTCCAGTAAGACACAAATCCCTACACCTTTCAAGGACATCTGTGATCACAAGCGCCGCAAGGCAAAGCATACCCTAAACCCGAGAAGTCCTACGTCCGAAAGCCCACCCGAAAAGAACCCCTCCCCCCCCCCGGTGAGGTGGTCTGCAAGTCCTTCGAGGAGATCTGTGAGAAGTTCACCATGCCCAAGGAAGGGTTGAAGGTTGAAGGTTTAGGGTTTAGGGTTTAGGGTTGAAGGTTTAGGGTGTTTAGGGTTTAGGATTTAAGGTTTAGGCTTTAGGGTTCAGGGTTGAGTTAGGGTCAGAGTCCACAATGCCCAAGGAAAGGCCTAGAGCTTAGGGCTAAGGGGTGTTTAGGGTGTAGGCTTTCGGGTTCTAGGGCTGAAGAGGTAGCACGTACCCATGAACCTCCAAGCAGGTTCTCCCCCCCTAAAACCGAAACCCGAAGCCCAAGCCCCTAAACCCTAAACCCTACAGCCTAATTCCTAAACCCTTTCCAGTAGAGTTGAATGCAAAGGGAGGTTCTGGTTCCGTGGTTTTGGGTGGTTCAGAGATTGGGAGTTCAGGGCCCCCAATATCTTGAAAGCCCGAAACTCCCAGCCGTCATCGTCCCTACCAGCCTGAAATCCGATCGCTTAAGCCCCAAGCCCGAAACCCTCTACCCATCTAAATCTGTTGGTGCAAAGCACCCCCAGGCTGTGCCCTCCGATCATGCCGAGCTGGATCCGATGTCATGCCCCACAAGAATCGATGCAGTCACGGAAAAACCATGGCAATGCGAATCTTTTCAGCTTCCTTCAAACGAGCAATGCAAGCTACAGCTTACGGTTCATGAGCCCCTCTATGGAAGTGGCCTAAGTGTTGCTGCCCTCATGTACTTCGTACCTCTCTTTTGGTCTTTGCCACACATACACATTCCAAAGCTCCTCATCAACACTCCTCCTTGAGTGGGTCCCTCGGACCTTCACTCACCAAGAAGAGCGAACAAAAGACTATACAGTTGACGTGTCGTTGTGCATCAGGATTGCTCCACAATCCTGATTTCATGCAACTCATTCGATTGTTGTGTTCCTTCTCGACTCAACCGGAACGATGGGACTGCATTGCCCTTGCCCTTCTTCGAACATACAGCGGCGTCTGCTCTTGACAGTATGAACAATATTCGGCAGTGTATAGATTCCCATCTCCAGCATGTCGCAAACCATGGCATTGAGGATTTGTGTGCAGCTTGGATCTTGCAGAAACAGTCTTGTAAAAACCAGTAGCGCTGTATGGCTCATACACATCTTGATTTCCTTGAAAAGGAGCTGGAGGGGGAGGCACAGGAAGATGCACAGGAGGTGCAGGCACTGGAATCGTCGGAGCTTGAACCTGCGAAGAAGAGCTCGAGCCTTGACCTCTCAGCTCTGCTCGATACGCTGCTTCGGTTGCTTGAGCAGCGCGGGCCTCCACAACTCTATCCAGCTCATCTTCGGCAGCAAGTCTTGCCACTTCACGAAGACGATTCAGCCTACGTTCCTTCGAACTCCCCTTCAACTTCCTCCAAATCCAAGCAGAAAACCACTTAACCGCTTCCCAAAGACCAATCGCTGCTACCACGACCAGACAAGTAATGAAAAACAACTCATCCACTTGTGCCACCTTCACATGCTCCTTGACATCAGCACCAGTCGCAGTATCACCTTGGACACTTTCACCTGAAGCCGCCTTCACCATAGTCAGCAAAATCAAACATCCCAAAATCAACCGCTTCGCTTGCATGAGTCCTGCCGCCTCAGCCGGGAGATTCTCAAATCCCCAAAGAATCAGAAGCTCCCATAGCCGATGTTTGGGATGCATCTTTGTGGCTAAATCAGCAAGTTGTTCATCGCCGCACAGGTGTTGCACTTGTAACAAACCACGGCTGATCTGATCTCTCACATAACTGCATCTGATACGAAGATGTCGAGTTCTCCAAGAGGCCGTTGACCCTTGCAGCATCGAAACTGCCGCAGCGTTGTCAACAAACAGCCTTCTTTTTATACTGCAACCCAGTATCTCTTCTACCAAACACGACACTCCTTCTAACATCAACACAGCTTGTGACGCCTCGTACAACTCTGCCTCCATCACACTCATGGTGACAAAACTCTGCTTGCCAGCACGCCATGAAACTGGCGTTTCGTTGATAGCGACGAGAATCGCCCCATATGACTTTGAGCCAGTCGGTGCAAAGCTCGCATCACTGTATGCCGACAAAATCACAGCGTCCGAAACAGCGTGCTGTGCATGTTGTGTGTTGTGCATGGGAGGGGAAGGGTTATTGTTGTTGCTGCGAAACTGCCGCCCAACCACCAACTTGATGTCTTGAGTTGCCTTCAAATAGGCCATGATTCTCATGCCGATCTTGGAAACCTTGTTGGGCTGACGAGCTACCCGACTGGCCATGTACTGAACCGGGTACAAGATATCTGGACGCGACCTCATCGCCAACCACAACTGCTCGCCAACTATGCGTTGGCCAAAACGAAGTTCCTCCAAGCTGAAGTTTTCTTCACAATCCTCTTCTTCATCTTGAAGCCACTCCTTAGGACATTGCAGTTTGGTCTCCAGCCCATCCTCTAACCCATGGTTCCGAAGGAGATCTTGGATATAAGCCTTCTGCGACAGCTCATATTTGTATCCGTCTTTCATCTTGATCTCCACCCCCAGGTAACGAATCCCCTCTTCATCATCAGCTCATTGTAGCTCACTGCATGGCCAAGTTTGAACCACCCAAGCATGCAAGGTCTCCACGAGGTCCCTTGGCGCCAAATACAGCAAGTCATCAACATAGGTTATGATGAGAGCAAGGAGTCGTCGGTCAGCAACCTTCCCTTCCTCGAAAACCATCCAAAGCTCAGGGTCAATCTGCGAAGGCTCCATGATGAGGATCTTGCCCTTGTATGGTATGCGAGCTGCAGACATC